GGGGGTGGGGGTGGGAAACCCTTAGTGGCCAGGCTGGAGGAGTCACCTAGGTTGTATCTTGTGAGATCACAGAATCACAGAATGCCAGGTTGGAAGGGACCTCAAGGATCATCTGGTCCACTTGGATAATCCTTCCCCTTGTCTGATGCAGGTGCAGGGCGTTATTCCCCTCAAATAAACTCTGGTCTGAAAACTCTTGTGTATTGGCACAGTTAATGGCACTGACAGCAGCTTGGGCTCTTGCTTCAGCCCCAGCCAGCCCAGCAGTCCCCAGGGGAGCAGCAGCTCTCCTCCTGGTGGCAGCCTTCCAAGAGAGGGCGTGGTGGGCCAAAAAATGGCCAGTTCTAGCACCAAGCTTGAAATCAATTGTAGGACATGATTATCAGCAGGGTTCAGTTTCCTCTGTTCTGAGCTTATTCAGCTCATCTGCCAAGGAAGCTGTAGGTGTTGGAGCCCACCCTTGTTCCAGGAGGGGTGCAGGCTGGCAGACTCCAAATGGTCACAATGGAATATTGTCCAGATGTGGGATCTTATTCTTCCATACATGCCTCAGGACATGGAGGGAGCTTTGTTTCATAGCATATTCAGAACTTCACCTCTGGGGTATTTATGAAGGCTGGCTCATTAGATGCAGTCATGAGGGCTGTTTTAATGCAGAAATAAATTAGGCTGCTCATGAATGGATGAAGATTTGCCAAACTTATTGCATGTTGGCTCCAGACAAAACAAAAGGTTATAAGCATTAAGAGGTAAAGTCCTAGGTTTGATAGAGAAAAACTTGAGCAACTCATGTCCCCAGGATGGTTAACTTTAAAAGAACATTTTAAAGCTTTGGATTATAAAGAAAAAAGTTAAACAGATATAGAACAATTAAATCCAGACTGGACATACATGCTGAAACTGTTCCATCAAAAGTATAGCAGAAGATGTCCAAAGGTTGGTTTACATGTTGCTCAGAGTTGTAATTTGCTCCCCTGTCTCACTGTAGGAGATTTGAACACACAGAACCTTAAATTTGCATATGGAAAAGAAATATAAATTCCAATTCAAATCACTCAGAAAATACTAGGCATCTTTCCAGTCACATCAGCAGGCTTTGACTGAGTTGCCATATGACCTTTCTTCTGTCAGGTGTCCAAGGGAGGGTGAAAAAGCACCCTAAAAGAAATTCAGCCTCCTTTGAGTTAATGTCTACAGTGCTCTGTTACATTACAAGGCTCTGAAGTAAAAAGTGTCTGTTTGAAATGGTGTCCCAGGAATATTGATAGTATGACCTCTCTTGAACTTCATGATTCCCTAATCATTGGGTAACACCATTGTTATAACACGTGCTGGGCATCTGCCATTGACCTGCCACTTTGTGGCACAGCTCTGAGGGACCAGAAGACAAACAAATAAATCAATCATACCGTTTATGGAGCCAAGCCATCCTCCATGGAGCAAAAGCTCATCAACTTCAATAACATGCAGTGCCCAGGCACAGTCAAACTGTTTAGTTCTTTATGAATTATGCAACGAGCCCTCCTGGCGGTTGGGATAAGTTGTTTGTTTGCCTGGCTGCTGTTTCTCCTCTGCAGTGGTCCCCCCTCACCATCTAGATTCAACATTTCATCTTCTTACCACAGAACCAGTGAGTGATGGACAGACTGTCCTGTCCTTGTGGCCAAGCAATGTTCTGCCAATTGATTTCTTTAAATGCAAAGCTTTTAACAGACTGCAGATTTTGTTTTCCAACATCTCTCCTTCTCTTAAACTCCCTTTTGCTAATTTGCACTTTGTTCTTCTCCCATTTTCCTAATGACACTGCAGTTCAGGCAGGAACTGTTTATTGATGTTGCTGCGTTAGCAGGCAGAGCAGATAAACCTCCTAGTGACTGTGCTCAGAACAACAGGGTTTTTCTTCCTTTTCCAGGTTCAGATAAAAACAGCTGAAAAACTCAATGCAAAACTAAAATTCCATTTATGAGAAATAAAAAAAAGCAAGCATTCCCTGCAAAAAATGTTTCCTTTTCTACTTTCTTACATTCTTGTCTGCAGAGCTTCCCCTGTGTATCTCCTTAAACATAGAACTCCAGCATCCTGTTTCCTCCATGAAAGCTTCAGCGCTGTGATCCATCAATGGAGATGGACTTTCTTTCAATTACATGGTGTATGTATCCATAATCTAATAGCATCTGTAACATGGACCCATTCTTAATCAAGACTAAGTAACCTGACTCTTGGTCAGAGCTAATGCTTATTCAAAGCTCAGTTGTAAGATTGGTACCACTTCAATTCTCTGGAGGCAAAGATGACCCCTTTCTGCAGCACTGAGCAAGATCGCTTAATATCCAAGCTACTTTACAGACAGAAATTGTTCTGCTTTCCCTATTTCCAGTAATTTCTACCAAAGTGCTTGGACATTAACACAAACCTAAATGCCACTTGCAAAAAACATTTTTGAGGCATGCAGTTGTAGCTCATTGTATTTTTGCTGACCTACAAGGATAGATTTATCCTCATTGCAAGAGTTCAGTGTGACTTGGTGAAATTCACCCTACAGAGCAGATAAAAAACTGCAATTTCAGATGCTCTGCAAGGAATTTTCCAGATAAAATCTCTGAAGTTCTTGGTGTTTCCTTGTAGCTGTACTCAGATGGAATAAGAAGTTCCTAATCAGAAAGAAAATACATTGAAATTATCATCAAACAGCCCGGATGTTGTGAGGACTTGGTGGAAGATCTCCAGTAGTGCTAAGAATCACATGCTCAGTTGAAGTTGAGGAACAAAGAACAGAAATGATAGACCCAAACATCCCCATCTTCTCTCCTTTCCTCTCCAGATGACTTCTTCAACTCCTCTCATTAAAATTTGACCTAGAATGTTGAACTAATAGCAGACCTTTGAACTGCTCCTAGTCTACCCAGAGTTTATGGTCATCCTATGTTTCATTGGAAGGGTCATTTCCTGTAGGACTTACACCCAGTCATCTGACTTGTGACCTCTTGGCTTAGATTTATGACCTTACAAGGTCAGACTTTAACTCCTTCTAGACTGTTTAATTGCAAAGAGGACACTGGATGCCATTAAAAAAACCAGTTTTCTCCAGTATGGTAATAAGGTTTTGGAATGACCTTTAACTCTAGTGTCACAAGACACTAGTGATTCCCAAAGAATACTAAAACTTTGTAGGTATCCCTACTTTTTCTTAATTTAGAAATAAGTAGATGCATACATTGAAGATACCCAGAATTTGCCAGTATGTGCAAACTTGGCAAACTGAATATAGTCACTTACCTTCATGTTAAGGTATTGAAATGAAAGAAACACTTGATTTTCACTTCTGTAAGTATTAACAACTCCAGCTCATCTCAATAGGAACAGTAGAAACTCAACACCCCACAAAATTATGCCAGTAATGCACAATTATAGAAATACTTCCTTTCTTCATGTGTTCGTATGTGTAAGTAGTGTCTGTAATTTGTTGGGCAGGAATAATCTCTTTTCTTAATGTGCCTGCAGTGTTTAGTACACTTTGATTTCACTTTCTGATGAAAGAAAATTTATGAATTTATTTTATGAAAAGAAATGCATTGTGCAGATTCAGACCTCAGAAACAGAGCTTTACTAGAGTGAAAGGAAGAAAACAAGATTTCTGTGGTTAGACATCAAATTCAGCTGACCTACATACCTTCACTTTCAACATAAATCAAAGTTAGGCACCATAAGCAGCCTCAGTACCTCAGCTGCTGAGTTAGGCACCAAAACCAGGGACTAGATTTATTGAGAAACTCCCTCCAAACTCTCTGTGAAAACATGAATTAGCCATCCTTAGAAGGAGTCCTCTTGGGTGTCAGCCCCCAGATGAGGACCCCAATCATTCGCATGGTCACCTGTGTTACAGCCTGAGAACTCTTTGAGAAATTCTACTCAGTTGTGTTTCTTTTCCCTGTCTTTCAGACCCCATGAGGCTCCGATCCTTCCGTTGCAACGGCCGTTCTTGCAACCCTCCAGTGGGAAACCTTGCAAGAGGGAGGACACCAGTCACTCTCACCACGTGTGGCCAGAACAGTACAGAACTGTACTGCTTCTACCCAGACCAGCATCTCCTCCACCAGGTCTCCCATGGCTGTGGGCAGCCTCGGTGCACCAAATGCAATGCCAACCAGCCTGATAACTCCCATCTCCCTGCTGACATGACAGACGATTTCTTTGCAAACCCCACCTCCTGGTGGCAGTCTGCCCAAGGGGTACACAGGGAAGAAATCAGACTGGACTTTGAAACAGAATTCTACCTGACCCATGTCATTGCTGTGTTCAAGTCACCTCGCCCAGCTGCGATGGTGTTGGAAAGATCCCAGGACTATGGGCAGACTTGGAGGCCCTACAAGTATTTCTCTGTCAACTGTACAGCAACTTTTGGGCTCCAGGATGATCTCACTGAGGAGGGCTCCATGTGCACCTCCAGGTATTCAGATGCAGTGCCCTGCACCAGAGGAGAGGTAAGCAATAACTGAGCTTTGAACTAAGTTTAATGTCAAAGAGCTGAAGACTGGCTGAATACCAGAGAGTATGTGCTCAGAGATATTGTGCACATAAATCAAGGCAGGTAGCACCTCCCCAAAGGCTTTGTGTCAAGAAAATAAAGGGAAAGAAGAGACATTATGTATCAGTGAAAATGAATGGAAATACTTTCACAAATTTCTTTTATGAGAGTTGCAGAGGATAAGATGAACATTGCCTAGTTTTACATCACAGATGTCAATAACTGAACTAGAAATCTGACAAAGCAGCTGTAGAGAAATACACATTTGTAGAGTGATTTATCCAGACTGGTTTCCTACTTTAGCATGACATGAACTGCATGGTCTTCTTCTCCATATAAGATGGATGACTTTTAAATACATCCTTCTAAGTTTCACTTATTTTCTTGCTAGAGGTGACCTCTCTGATTCCATCAAGCCATAGGCTCCAGAAATAGAACCATCTAGAAATAGGAAGTTGAAGTGAGCGGCCAGGTTCCAAATATTCAGTAGTGAGAACAGGCCCTCCCTTGGTATGAATATTCTGATGTGTGAATAAACATCTGCAAAAGGTTTTCTTTTAAAATAAATGTATAATTGCTCTGATAAATTCTTCTGATAAGAGCAACATTGATCACTGTAATAATCAGATACTTAGTTTAGTTATAACCCTTTTCATTCATTGATTTTGAAACAGTTTGGATGGGAAGGACGATAAATATAATTGGCATTGTTTGATAGAGGTGGCATAAAGGCATGAAGGGAGATTATAAGACATTCCTACAGTCACAACAGAGGCTGGAGTCCTTTTGCTTCCTCCTCTCCCTTAGAGAAGCCACAATCCTCTTGGTTTCCCTGTCTGGAAGTGATCATGCAGTTTCGGCAGGAATACTTTGCTACAATTTAAGCACGGTGTGAGATGGATGGTCCAGATAGGCTTCAAAAAAACACAGTGGTTTCAGCAGTGCACTTCAAAATGCACTTGAGAAAAAAGAAACTAGTGTACCATACCTGACACAGGGAAACAGCAGTAAAGAGAGACTGAGTTCATCTTTGTGCATCGGGCTGGGAAACATCCCTGCGTATTAGAAACTTGGAGCAGATCGTCTGACTATTAAACTGTCTTGTTCCTGGAGCAGTGATTCTGCTGCTCAGTTATCATGATACAATGAAATAAAACAAATCCAAATGTCTTCAATAGAGAGATTATGATTTGCCACGTCAATATAGAATCTGGGCAACTAATCTTCCACTCTTGTGTGCCTTCCAATCAAAAATCTGGAAGTACTTTGCAAGATGCATTTGATGATCTTTAGCACATATATGAAGGTCTTATTGCTGCTTCACAGATGGGGAAAGAGCAGCACAGAAAGGTGAAGTTCTTTGTGGTAAGACAGGACAATTCTGCTTGAGTAAGGAACAGAATACAGGGTCTGAGGCAAATGCCTTGACCTTAAATGCAAAACAACTATTCCTTCTGTAGTACAGTATCCCCTGTTGCCCTGCACTCTGATGCCTTTCATGCTTACTTAACCTTGGGGAATATCATGAAGACCATATGTTGCTGCTACAACAAATCTGAGAAGTTGATGTCAGAAAATCAAATAACAAAACATTCATCCAACACAAGCCTTTGTGATTACAAGTGTCAAACTGATTCTGTCAACTTGGGCAACAACACCACCAAAATGAGTATGTGTATAATTAATCAATCTGTGCTGTGGTAATAGATGTTATAAAACAATAGTAATAGCAAGAACAGACATATATTTGCAGGTCATACACTTGCAGCTCCCAAATACTTTCACGAGCTGTTACCAAAAAACTGAATACATACAGAGGTCATTTCCTCTACAGGATGGAGAGCTGAAGCTTTAAAGCAGCACACAGGAATCTGTATGGCAACTTAACAGAGAACAAGACAAATACTGTTTCCCAGCACATTAACCCAAGAGGATTCTGAAATTCTGGACAGACTTTACAGAGACCTCTTAATCAATCCATGAAATGCCACTATGGCAAGGGTGCAAAAGCATCAGGGTTTTTAGGTCAGCAATGTGACACAGCAAATTCTTTTGTGAATGAAAATAAAGGAAGGCAGAATGTAGTTATTTAAAGTGATACCTAATCAGATTTGCTTGAGTGGTGCTGCTACTCTTACTATAAGTCTCAGAGGAGCTTTGCCCACACATCTCAGAACTGCAATTTTACACCTTACTTTAAAAATGTCACAAATGTCATCAAGGCATCCCCTCAAGCACTGACTCACAACTGACTTGGAAGGAAGCTGATTGAATCCCCACCACTACTTTTCACAATGTTCTCTGCTTCTTTTTCACCTCCACGCTGACCTATCCAATTAGTGGTTCTGGCTAAGCCCTTGGGTGGCTGAGAAGCTCACATCACAAACTGACAACATTTCTGAAACCATCAAAACAGTTTCCACTTAAATGCTAATGAATGCTCTGAGATAAATGCCATTTTTCACTGCTGAAGGGGTTCCACTGCTTTTCTTGAGTGTTGTCTTACTTGGAGAACAGACACAAACCCCTTTTCAACAGGGCACAAAAAGAATAAATAAATTTAAAAAAATAATAATAAATGGCTTACTAAGAACACTTGGGTTTAAAACCCGTGTGAGACACATCATGAAGCAAAATTTCAGGTCAACTGGCTTTCAGAACTGAGACTGTAGGTGTGAAAGGAGAAGGAGGTAGAGCTGCAGGAACTTACATGCATCTATAAACTGAGATACACCTCTTTGAGTCACCACACTCTGGTGGCCTTCCAAGAGCACTGAAAGAGGCTTTTCCTGGGAGCATGACAGGGTATTTGGCAGAAGGGAAACTTTTAGGACACTAGAATGAAATCAAAAGACATTTGGGTGACCAACGTAAGAGTGTCACAACAGAACACAATGTATCACTAAGTTAAGATGTATCCCTTGTCTCTTGTAGATTATCCCTTATCTTTCACTCCTGACAGGGTCACAAACCTCCATTGCATCTCAGATAAGGTACAGCTGAGACAGAAAGTGTCATGCATTGGGGAACAGTCCTGTAGAAATGCAAGAAGATTACTTCCTAATGTCTCCTTCACAGCTCTCTTTTACATTGCATTGACTAAATCCCTTTCTCCTGTTCAGAGCAGCTCTGCAGCTAGAATCTATCTGAGATCCTAGACCCCACATCTTCATTTTCTGCCTATAAACTTGTTCTCTTGATAATTTCTGGCTGAGGAGGCAGAGCAATTTATTCACTGCCAATGGCCTACACATCATTTGATTTATATGAAACACCACAAAACCAACACCTAACTTTCTAGTATTATAAACACTTCTCAGTGAAAATCCTCCACTAGCATGTCTTCAGTCCTGACTGTCCTGTTAAGTACCCTATGTTTTGTCTGTTGACTTCTATCACTAAGAAATTATGTATATAATTTATATAATAAATGGAAAACAACTTAATAGTGTTTGCTTCTGCTTCTAATCTTTACCCTACCTTAAAGCTGAACATTCTTAACTATTCTGAAGGGAAAGCAGTTGCTGCTGTGCTCATCAGTTTCAGTGTGCCAACCTCCAACATAACATCATGAACTAAAAACAATCGCACCTTTTCAAGGTCTGTTCATCTTCTATAAGTACATCTACGTGCAGTGCTTGCAGGAAGTCTTATGCATCAGCTAAGAACTTTATTACCTACTTGTCCATCCATCTGCTTTTCAAATTTAAAAACACTGCACTACATAGTCATGGAGGCTAAAATGAGCCTTCCAGGCAGCTAATGTAAATTACCACAATGTTGCATCAGACATTAGTGTGACTTACAAGTTCAAAGATCATCTGGGGGAAACAGCAACCAAAATGTTTCAACCTGCATCCTGACAGCACATGAACTCAAGGATCTGAGAGATTAAGAGCACATTTTTAATAAACTGGAATATCAGGAAATGAAAACAAATGTTGTCCTCCATCGAAGATGAAATTTGCATGAAAGAAAGACATTAGCATGCAAAGCAGGGTCCTCCACAAACACTGACCTGCTTATAACCACCAGACCCAAAAGGAGACCCTTCCCCTGTTGGGTCCAGCAAGTGGAAGGGAGTCTTGAATCCAAAGCTGGTTCATTTCTGTGAGTGTCTGTGTGACAGATGACACCAATGAAGTGTGATATAATAAACCTATTACTGGAATTCACTGGGGGCTGGAAGTATTATGTATGCCTGAATTAAGTAACTGGTTTCTATGGCAACATGTTAAGTGTGCCTTGTGCAGAAGACCTGTTCATTCTCCGTTTTGTATCCTGTGGTGACCTCTTTAGGGACAGAAGTCCCCAGCAGTGCCTTTTGTCAAAGATGAGTGGACTCGCTTTGTGGCTAAAAGACTTTTAATCACTGTTCTAGCCACACTCTGAATGCCAGATCAAGACATGGTGTGATGGGATGCAGTCCTCTCTGCTTTAAAAGCCACCAGGTTATTCAGACAGAAGCCACAGTCAACCCTATGGAAGACCTTTTCCTCTGCACTGGCACTGAAGGTCTCTGCTGCCTTTCTCCAGCTACAGGGACTCTGGGCAAGAGTTATGGCAGAGGGAGATCACTTGTGCACAGACACCAAACCAGGCCAGGGACAGGGTTCTCTGTGGAATGTATGTGATCCTGTTCCAAGGACTTACATTTTTTGCTGTCTTTTCTCAGGGTTTTCTTTTACTGTATTCATGCCAGACCTTTTGATAAACAAAGGAGGATCTTCCACACACACACACCTCATTAACCGACAACATCAATAATTCAAGAGGTCACCACTGAGCCTTCAACGATTTCTTAAAGGTCTGATATCATTTGGCAGTGGGGTGACTGAAAAGAAATATGCTCAGCACATCACAAGTTTGAATTCCTAGCAGCTGAGATGCAAGGGCAGGGTCTTGCACTGCAGCAAACTGTCCAACAGTCATCAGGACTGGCCTCTTGCGTGATGC